GGTCCCCACTGTGAACGTTTCCCGCAACCCATTGAAAACGCTGTCCAGGGATCCCTTCTGACTCGAGCTCAGAGCATCATAAGCATCCCGTGCAATGCCTTCTAGGGTCAGTGGCAGAAAAGCCAGCTGCTGGTTCTCATCCCAGCCCTGAAGCCGACCAAACGTTTGAAAATCCTCACGGAAACGGGACAACGAGCCCTTCCCACCGAAACGGGGTGCCGGTACAATAAAAGAACTCATTTTAAATTCCTGCTTAGGTACCACATTAACTGGTTAGCCAAACCTGACCTAGCTTTACAATGAACTCTAATATCATTTCCATTGCGTATTCACTTTGATTTTTCGCACATTGCTCTGACACCACTACTGAATTGTTCATTGTCAGACACTCAAAACACAGTTCACCGACCCCGAAATCCCAGTTCCCCAGGCACAGTACCGTGAGTGCAGTGACGGCCAGTCCTCTCCATCCGGCGCCTTGCCTGCTGCTCCTCGAATCAGCTGACGCGGTCCAGTGCAGTGCGGCGCTGACGGCCGCAGAGCTGGGCAGAGCTCCGAGCCGAGTCGCGGTGGGCGATACGGCCGGCTGGTGCCGATCACCAGCAGCGAGGAGGTCGGACGCCAATCGCTATGGCGGTGCCGACTCGTCACTCGCTCACCACTCGCGCACCAAATCACTGAACACTGCACACTGAGCTCGCAGGCCGCAGCAGCGCGACGGCTGGGCCGAGATCACCACAGGCCACTGCGCACTGATCGCTGTCTCTCAGCCTCCTCATGGACGTCACCTCCATCACAGCTGAGACTGCAGGTAGCCGGTACCCGAAGATTGTAGAAGCAAGGAAACAGCGCGGTCCCGGACTAGGCTCCTCTTGCTTCGATAGCCCTGGGCTGGTCGATCTCCATGACGGCTCGTAACTGGTCCATCTTCCGATAAACTTGATGAGTAAATGTGTTGCAGCAACGGCGCTCAGTCGACACTTGCACAGCCAAGTGGACCGAGGATCAGTCGACCGTAGCACAGCTCAAGAAGCGGAGCTCAGTGCTAGCGGGAACAGACGGCACTGCTAGACAGTCGCCGTGCAGCGGCCAACATGCCGCAGTCTTCAGTCGGGACAAAAGGCGAAGTCGACCGACCTTACCGGCTAACTGACAACTCGTCAGAGTGTTGCAGAGCCGGAAAAGCAACAGCAGACATCTTGAACTGGCGATAGCTGCTCCGAAGATTTCAAACAGTCAGTTGAAAACTTGATTTCTTGAGGCCGCGAAAACCGAGGACGTCGGTTCGGGCTCCAAACTTCATTTCGACTAAGTCGATCCCACCGCTGCCACCAAATGTAAACCCGTGTTTACTGAAGGTGAACCGACATAATCAAAAGTGAAGAACATTACATTGTATTTAGCTTTAGGTTACATTTTAACAGAGCCAGGAGCACAACCTCACTCCTTGAGCTCTCGATCCAGACTCCCCGCCCACAGTCAGCCGAACACCTGCCGTGATCAGCTGAATGGGCGAAAACATAGTGCACCATGAGATGCTCCGATCGCGGCATCCGCTATATAAAACATTATACTAATTGGTCAGTAAAGCCGCTAAACATGAACAAGAGTGTTGACCATTCTAATAATATGCTGTACACAATAAAAAACATTTAATTACATTATCTAGGACAGCTTCGAGTTCATACCTGAAGCAACAATTGAATAGCAGACGATCACGCGCAAAACCGTTGAATTAAATTCCTGTCCAGACATCATATGGTCACCGGGCTCCTCTCGCCGGTGAAACAGTTAAACTTTAATCGGCGCAAAGCTTGCCGATTACATATATAAAAAAATGTTTTGTTGCTGCTGCTTTTTTTATCCGTGACCCCCTGGGGAGGGGCAAAATATGCTCCTTCAATATTTCACTAATAAATATCTGCTGAGCGCGTAAAAGAAGCTATGCCAAACTATCAGTTTAATCCTCGCCGGCCGAGGGGCAATGACGCCCCCATAGGATTTTTCACAATAGCTCCGAACACACTGGAGATAGAGAGCTGAAGCTTGGCATACCTGACCTTTGATTCAGGTCGGATCTTTTAACACCAACCGCATTTTCGGGTCAGGTCAGGTCACTGACCTATGACGTCATAAGTGAACCTCTGCACGGTCTTCAGATGTCGCATTTTTGCGGCGCCCTCACTGCCAGAGGAGCTTTCACAGGGAAATGAAACTTGCAGGATCTAATATCCATTACGAGTCTCACAACTTGTAATCCTCGATTTTTTTCCTAAAGGCCATATGAGGTCAGGTCATTTCGTGACCTCTCTATTATACGTCAATGGGGAAAAATGAAAACTGCTATTCTGGCGCCAGGAACGATCTCCAACTATCTCAAGCACACATACAGAATCGTGATTTGATCACGGCACTCCTTGCAAGGTTACATGCGTCACTTTTGAAATTTGTTAACCTTGCGTGACGTCATTTATGACGTCATTAGGGTCATATTAGTGTTTCGTAAATAACTCCCGATCAAATTAAGCTAGCGAGTCAGGAAAGCCACCAATGGACTCAGGAAGACCTGCCGAATCGAATGATATGCTGTATGACCTACTTCGACCAATTTTGTGACCTGAGGGAGCTGACCTGACCGTGACCTGAGGTCAACACCCTTAGTTGGCCTCACCCAAACAAAATGTATATATCATTCGACGCGCCTGAGCGATGCAAACATGATGCTGTCAAAATCGCGGCTCTGCGGCCGTTTTTTGCAAAGTTATTCACCAAAAACGGAACCGTACCTGGCAGCACTTGACCTGACCTCAAAGGTCACCGGTTGACCTAGGACCTTAAAATCGGGTATCAATCTCACTCTCAGCGTCTCGTAACGGCTCACACGCTCGTTTTTTCCCCGACACGCGAGCTCTACCAGGGGCGAAACGGCGAGGGGATGGGGGCTCGGCCGGCGCGTATGTAGAAAACCAATAGGTCCGGCAAGGGTTAATCATACATTGCTTTTATGTATCCTCTGAAAATTTGAGAGACATCCGCTCGATATTTTTGAAAAAAAAGATGGTTTAGTGTCGGCATGCCACGCCATTTTTGTTTATAAAAAAAATCGAAACTTCAAACGCATAAAACATCTTCAGTTTTTTCAAACCTCGCCGGACTTGTTGGTTTTCTAAATTCCGGCCGAGGTGGTACGTTCTACCGTGTTTCTACCCATACAGCAGCCATGTCGTAATATTGTACAAAAGAATCAAAAGCTCTAGATATCTTACAACAGTAGCATTTCATGAATACGCAAGAAATACATATACCTACATATTACAAGCTTCTGGAGAAACAGGTTCTCTGCCGTCGCCGTCACTGAACAAATCAAGACCGCAATCATAGCGTATGTACACTGTACAGTGTACACCGTCGGTTCGGTTCAAACGACAAATGCAGGAGGTAAAGAGGCTGGTTTATTTGTAGTTAAAACACGATAACGACCCACAATGACCTAAATTGGCTCCGGATGGCAATGCTCGTGTTACGTAACATTGGAAAGTTTATAACAAGACACAATGCGGTGCAGATGATATGAATTGTTCACATTTTTGCTCGGCCTGTACTCCGGGTCAATAGCTGACATTCCAGCTAACCCAGCTTCAGCACTAAAGTTATTAGCCACACACATATGTTCCGCCCTATAGAGCAGCTTCCTGCCAGCGGCGTTAGGTAAGGTCACCCACATTGTTTCTCTGTTCGTTTTTATTCCGGGCGGCACACACAAATACACTCGGCGCGAGCCGTAAAGGTCGGACTCGGAGTGTCGGCCTCACGCGGCGCAGCGCGGGGAGTCATCCGGTGGGGGTGATTCTGCCGGACGTAAGTCCGTGCGTGCAGGCTGGTGACTTTAACCCTCGCCGGCACAGGGGGGGATGCAACCCCCCCTAAGGTCTTTCGCGAATAACTCGCATAAAAAGCTGCCGATCGCGACAAAACTCTCAATACCCTCGCATTGATTAATTCTACACATACCTTGAAAATTTCATGACCCTGACCCAAATGACCTTTATCCTGTGGCCTACTTTCCGAGACCATGTTTGGCCGGAATCGCGATTCGGCGTTTGTCGGCTCGCATTAGCCCCGCGTTTGCAAGCTTTTCGTGGTTTCAAACGTTCAAACATGTGGTTTGATGTTGCTCCCATGCATTAGCCCTCGCCCATGCATTAGCCCTCGCCTCTATTCTTTCTTGATGTCCACTGAAAACTTCAAGTTTCTGTGGTTTTTGGTTTCGGAGATATGACCTTGTTTTTCAGGTCAGGTCACGACCCAAATGATCTATTCTCAACATCTTGCGTTGGCTATGGGCCTTGTGAGCTTTTGACACCATGATTTCGGCCTTTTTTGCCAGTCTTACCTCCCACCTACCATGGAACATGTTGTTCGACGATGTTACAGAGGTCAAGGTCAGGGTCAAGGTCAACCTAGGTCACCTAAAATAATTGCGTTTTAGGCAAGCTGAATTTACTTTTCGTGAAGTTTTTTGACTGCATTTTTGGTAAAAGCTTCTCAGATCATGATTTCATGTAATATGGACACATAAACACTCGGTGCACACATCAGTATACAGTACACACAGGCACATACCAACACATATGATTGACCTTGACCTAACTTGACCTGAAATGACCTCAGCAGCAAAAATCTGGTCGGGTAGTGTGACAAAGAGGTTCTTGCTGGCTTGGCACCAGAAAACGGGGGGGGGGGGTCGTACCAAGCCCCCTTGTGCCATCGAAGGACGCAAAATGGCCTGTGCCGGCGAGGGTTAACATGCATCATCGTTTTTGAGAACACGGATCTCGGCATAATACTGGAAGGTACAAAAACTTTTCAAACTTTGAACTGGAACATAAGCCGGACAACGCCGTTGTCAGTTTGAAGTCAGGCTGTTTCCGACAAATGGCTTCAAATAATACGAACTGCATTCTCCAGTTGTACCGCAGTGCACTGTTGCCGGGAAGCATCTAGCCTGGAGATTTCCCTGGCCGCTCCCGCAGCAGACAGTTTTTCAGCTCCATCTTTTGATTCGCTGACATCAGCTCGTCGGAGCTGAAATCCTCCCACAGATCCAAGGTGAGGAGCCTGAAACGATCAGAACATCAGTGACCACACAATCAACAGTAATCTAAAATAGATTGCAACAGGTTTTCCGAACCAAGTCAACCCCATCGCTCCGGATCCTTTTCCACGATCTTAAATCATCAACAGCATCATTCGTTACACCCTACGCCAACCACAAAGCCCTGACAACGTTCAGCGACAAGAACCGGCGACCGACGATTGGCAGCGCCGAACGCCATGACACCACGCCGGCTGATTGCCGTCCGCGGAGCACGGGCGAGCGGGGAGCGCCGTGATTGCCGCGCCACCTCCACGCCGGCTCAGCGCCCAACGGAGCCCAGAATCGACCGCTCCTCTCCGGACAGACCTGACCGAGACCCAACTGCCCACCGGGGTGCCCTTGCCTCGCGCGCGTCGGCGGCAGGTCCGCCGCGCGACTGGCTGCCGCGACGTTCGTTAGCTAATGGCCGTGTGCCTGTGTCCACCGTATCCGTGACGAATCTACACGTGAGAGCCGCCGGCCGCGTCTTACGTGACACGTGGACGACACGTGACTCGGACATTGCCACGATGTTTTCTGCTTCCTGAGCACGTGCTTATTGTGGTGCAAGTACATCACTACCATCGGCATCGGCTATGGCTGTCGTTATTATCACGCCATAGTCGCTTCCCAGCAACACCAATCTTTGTCAGAGAAGTGATGCGCCATTTCCTTCAGAGAGGTACACAGGATACACAGTACTGCTTTGATAAGGATAATAGCTGCTATACATTTGTGGTGAGTATAGATGCGGAGCTTTACTGCTTTCTCGGTACCTACCTATCGTGCTGTTTTCACCATCTATTACAACAATAAAAATGTGGACGACATTCACTCAAGGCACGGTTCCACCGAGGCGCATCAATTTTGATCCAGCAAAGGACGAATGGCATGTGGAGAGGAATGTGCCCGCATTTCAAAATTAAAAACCCCAATAACTTAGCAGGAAGACAAAATACAGCATTCAAAGCGCGCCCAGTTACCTGGTGGTCTGAGCATCAACAAAAGGCAGCGACAAGGATGGCGAAATTATCAGGCAGCTTCACATTATCCGAAACGGCTAATATGTAGATTCGAGCTTCTAGACGTCTGATCTTTTGTCATCAGCCAGTGATGAAGCCACCATAACCACACCCTGACAGCTGACCTGACCTGACATCTGTCAGTCAGACAAGTCCCCGGGCGGCTGTCACTCCCACTAAACAGCAGCTGACGCGGCCCTGAGAGCTGTGAATCCCAAGCGTCACCCGGTTCTGACACACGCCAAGCAGCTGTCCATCGAATCTACACCTCTTAGTTCGCTGATACATCCCATCACTAGCCCCACCGCTGTATGCGTACGATGGCTGTTCTGTCGAGGGAGCACTCACATGACATGTTTCATGAGGATGGCGTGCTGGACCGGCAGAGAGGCTGAGACCTCTGAGGTCAGCCGGAGCAGCAGAGCCAGCTGGTCTGAGGTCAGCCGGAGCAGCAGAGCCAGCTGGTCGGAGGTCAGCCGGAGCGGCAGAGCCAGCTGGTCTGAGGTCAGCCGGAGCAGCAGAGCCAGCTGGTCGGGGACCTCTGGGACGTCAGAGCTCCGAGCAGCTCTCCAGGCATTCAGTAAGGTGTCCCTCTGACGAACAAAAGACAATCAGAAGACGCACACAATAAATAGGCAGAGTGTAGGTAGATATAATGGTACCTAACCGACGATTTACATTCATGAAAATCAAAATTTGATTTCCCAAAGGGATGTAACTGGATTTACAGTTGAAATTTCGCTAGGCACGTTAGGTGCGTGTTTTTTCTTAATTTCCTAGCTTTATTGCTTTCACCCGGAACAGTAAAAAAAAAAAACACTGCCGTTCAATAAATGCCAACTCTTTTACGGCCTCTTTCGGGCGAGGTCAGCTTACTTTGTATCTGCCTGAGGCGCTGTTGGGCGCGGCTGCACTGTTATTGGCTCCGCTGGGCGTGTGGACGCCCACCACCTCCAGCACGAGGCCGTCCTCCTGCAGTGAGTCCTGGATGGCCCCCAGGTCGCCAGGGTGCTCCACCAGCAGACGCCGCCTGCGGCCCAGCGCGCCGCCCAGGTCGATCATGTTCAAGTTGTTGCCGTTGTTGTTGTTGTCCGCCACATTGACGTTATTGTCGTTGTTGTTGCGGTCGTTATTGTTGTTATTGTTGTTATTGTTGTTGTTGAGGATGTTATTGGCGACGTTGACGGCCGCGATAGCAAAGTTGATGAGGGTGAAGATGGAGAAACCTCCGGTTTTGCAGGGCGAGTCCTCCTTTTCGGGTGCTTCGTAAAATACAATATTTGAGCTGCCATGAAAAATTTCATTTTGTTACAAAATGTCCTACATTCAGAAAACAGCCATTAAACGAATGTAAACGACAAAGTAACAAATCCATATAACAATTAACAATGTAACTATTATTTCATCCATTAATTTAATATTTCAATTGAAATGGTGAATATTTTACGGTAAAACCAAGGGTCTGGATTGCATTTGGATGTATTTGGCAATGCAGATTTTAGTCGACTTGGGTTAGTTATAGCAATATTGTGCTCAGTGCCGATCATCTTCTTTTGATATTTGACTCTTTCGCGTAATGCTCGCCTCGAAGGCATATTTTCTCCAATTGCTTTGGCGGCTTAGGTACTTTCCTCAATAGATTGGGCAGGGATGGAAGTATCCTTCTTGTCACAAGATGCTAGTATCCTTGGTGATCAAGATCTCCCAGGTAACCCTAGCAAAACATCTGAGCTCTGACATACCAGCGATAAATCACCAATGGTTTTTGCTGGTACACTAATTGAAGAGTCACGTTACAGACCCACTGTTGAAATGTTCAATTTTATCTCTAATCATTTCGGCGCGCGTCTAGCGTGTGCGCTTTTTCCCTCCCACATCAGAAGCCTGGACGAGCATCGTAGTAACCACTACCGAGTGATTTTCTACGAAGCTGTTTCGCCCATCAGCCGATTTGTGTGTATCCTCTTTGGCCACTGACGTCAAAGTTGGACCTTTTCATATGCAGAGTGTTTCCCGGCCGACGCTTCTGGGCTGTCAATCTACATCGCGGCCTCATCCGCTGGCATCGCGCTACTGAACCGCTATATCGTGACGGTGCCGGGGTGTTCCACAATTTTACGGTGACTCCTTTCAGCCGCTGGCTGAGATGCGCTAGTTCCACAGTTCATTACCGCCTTATCGACCTCGGCGGCTTAGTGGGAACATCAATCAGATGTCACACCCCCGGCCTTTCTCGCCGGCAGTCCTCTGCCGATGAACCCAGAGGACCGAGGCACTGTTCCGAGGACGTCCATACACTGGTCGTATATGAGAGGTTCGTCATTTGAAGCACACGCATCCGGTGTAGGTATTATGGAGGAACGGTTGAACAATGAACAAGTAAAACGTTGAGGTAGATAGGTCAGTGCAAGCTGTTACCTCAACCTGGGAAGCAGCTTGTTAGAATTAGAGCAATCGGAAGTCCATCGACTGTAGTCGTTACTGCACAAAACTCATCTTTTATTCTTTCAAATTGGGTTCAAAGTCTACCTCTGCTTCATAAAACAGCCCCATCCCGTGCAGCGGGTAGCGGGGCGTAGAAATTACCATCAGGTAGGTCTCCCATTCAACGTAAAGGTTCTTAAAGTGATACAATTTTGGGATGATATTAATGGTCGGTAGGAAATAGGATGTTTAATTCATAAATAAACGACTTGAATCGAGGGGGCGTGACGTTTTCCATCACCAGCGTTGCTATTTTAAGAGGACGTTATTTTCGTCGCAATGAGAAGGTGGATCGTGAGCATTATTCTACACGAGTACTCCACAGGACAAGAAAGGGTTTATACGCGATGTAGCATTTCGAAATGACGATGCAGGCCGGTAAAGAAGGCCAAACTTTGCAGGTACCGTCCACCAACCCACCTGTGATCTGGACTCTGCATCATGAACGATACCGGGTCGGCGGGGGCTGCAACAGCGCGTGCTTCACTTGGTCCGGCAGCGGCTCCGCCGTCTGTAACCCCAGGAAGACCTCTCCAAAGGCGTCCAGGCCCAGGTGTGACATCACGCGGCCCGTCCCCAGCCGGTGCGCTCTTCAGCGGTGCGTCCCCAGCCAGAGTTTTCGGCCGAGGAACTGAGCTTGCAGTTGGGTGGATGGTCACGAACGCTCTGTTTTGACTTGCCGCGATGTGTTGGTTTTGCGGTAGGAGGTTTCCTGTAAAAATATTGTCACTGTGGTGTTGGCGGGACAAAAACAGCTTTGCGTGCTTTCTGGCTACAGATGCATTAGTTGTGTTTACATCAAACGGTAATTGAGTTGACAGCCTGTTAGGAATGGTGATCTTGTGTGATTAATGACATATCAAGCAATGTTATGCGCTTTTGATGCTTGTGACGACTTTCTAAAAAAAGGAGTTTTCATATGTTGCACCTATGGAACATATGTGAGGCAGTCGTTGGTAGCTATCGCGACCCTCATATGCTCATTCACGTTTGGCTCCGAGTTTTGAATGGCATCCGTGAGGGAAACAGGCCAAGCCTGCTGCCCAAACGTTTTTCTAAATGTCAACATCAGAGGACGACACCTGAAGCGTCAAAATACGCTTAACCCTCGCCCTGGCAGGGGGGGGGGTCGATGCGACCCCCCCCTAAGGTTTTTCGAAGATAGCGTAAAAACGGCGGCGCGCAGCGCCGCCAAATTTGGCACAGCCTATGGGGCAACCTTTTTACATATGACCTGAAAATTTCAGGTCCGGGTGACCTTGGGTCAGGTCACCAGGTCAGAAAAACCGGTACAAGGTCATGGTCAAATTTCAATTTTCTTTTTGCACCTGTCCAACTCACAGTTTTGCACTGATTTCCTTCAAACTTTCAGGATGTGCTAAGTTCACCGAGTTGTATAACAGATAGTTCGGTTTTTTTTAGGTCACTGACCTGAGGTCAGTTAGAGGTCATTACGTCGTAATGTTAAGCCTATGGGAAAATACTAAATTCGGAAAATACTGGAGATATCCGCTTGTTCTATCACTTTTGTGCTTTGAAACCACAGTACTTAACAGCAGGTCACTTGGTGCTTCTTTGTTTGGTGTACTTATCCATGGGTCAGGTCAAATGAGGTCAACTGAGGTCAAATGACGTTTTTGCCAATAACTTGGCACATTATGACGCTAGAGCTTAAAAAATGGTATCATTGTGTTCCTGGTGATCAGCCGAATCGAATGATATGCGATATGATGCAATTTGGTTAATTTTAACTTAATTTATTAATTTAAGTTTACTTAAAATTTAAGAAAAAGTTTAAGTACCTTTCAGCAAGCTAAAAAGTATATCATTCGACGCGCCTTGACGTGCTGAGTTCACTGGTGCTTTTCTTTTTGCTCTATCTTAATTAGATCAAAAGTTAAAAACTTAAAAGCGAAAAACTTTTGACCTGTTTTTAGCGAAATTTTTACATTTATACCCCCCAAAACCCCCCTAAATATTGACCTAGAGCAACCAAATTTGCACAGGGGCGAGAACTCCAGGGGACCCACCTACCTACCAAATTTGGTGTTTCTAGGTGCCATAGGAGCCAATCGCGAGGGGGGGGGGTCGCATCGACCCCCCCCCCCTGCCAGGCCGTGTTATGAAAAATGCCCTGCCAGGGCGAGGGTTAATAATGTTTCCCTAGCAATCATTATTATTTAATGATAAAATAGTGCCACCCTACCGGCTAGGGCTGATGTTACACAATACCAGACTTGATTCTGACCGTAGGGTATAGCGTATCTTGTAAGTCAATACACCTATCTATGCAACATTTTCATCTTGTGTAGGTATGTTGCAATTGTGCATTGCAAATACATGATGCCGTTTAGTTTCCATCGCCCCCGTACGATAGAAGTGTGACCATTATACATTTAAACGAATTGGTACACAGGATACCCAATATCAAAGGTATCTTTCACCTGACAACCCGATTATTGGCTGCTTCTATCGTGCGTGCAGATCTTGTATTGGGTGTAATTGGTTGTCGTAGTTCGTACGCACCATGTCGATAGGTCTGATTGCGGTGCGCCGCATAGGGAATGGCAGGCATATAGCAATTGATCTTACCCCTATTTGGCGCCACCATATCATCCAATAAATAATTGAAGTTTCTGATCTAATGACTGATCATAATTAATTACATTTGGGAGAATCTTACCTGATGAAGGTGGCAGAGGCGTCCAAACGCAGAGCAGGATGACGCTTGATAAACTTAGTCTGCATGGTGCATTTTGTGTCAGTAGCATGCCTTTTTCTTATATTTTCTTGCCAGCAGTTCCTGCACCGGTAATTTGCGTTACAAGCCTTATGCTGGTCAAATGTTGCACGCTGATAATTACGCAATGTATTCTTTAAAGCAATTATGATTATCGAAATGTGTTCTTGGGATGCTCATTGAGTTCCTGATATCAGGAGCAACCTTGTTTCATGCTTTATTCAACTGTCCTTTCTTCATAAGGATATCTAAAGTAAAACTTCTGTGAACAGCACACGACCGGTAAGATCACCGAAAGACATATTTGCTACAACAGGTTACGAGAAAACAATTTTATAAATAAGCTTTGTGTGAAAAACTGAGATTGAGACAACTACTTTACCTCATGAATAACTATCACTGTAAACTTGATAATTATAAAAGTGTTTTCCGAGAAAAAAAAAACATGAATGACACAGTTCAATAGCTAACGCTTTTGCTAATATGGCAACGACGTGTTATGCTAGGTATCGAGCATAGCGACATTGCTAAATCGAAGTTTAACCCGGCAGGCGGTGGGCCTACCAGCCACCTTCCGCGCGGTGGGGGGGGGGGGCACTTTTTCCCCCCCCCCCGTATCTCCGAAACTACTGGACGGATCCGGAAAATTCAAACGGCGTTCGATAGCCCTGTCAAATTTGTTGAGGGAAACCAAATTTCATTGACCTCGGGGTCACCGATGACGTCACAGGTCAGGTCAAAGATAAAATGTTTCACCGTTCACGGGGCTTCTAGGGAAAGCGCTATAACACCGAGTAAAACGCATTTTGTCGAAAATCAGCGATAAGGCGTCGGTTGTCTAGTACATATGTTGCTATTAGAGGTCACTGGTCATACCAGGTCAGGTCACAGGTCAGGTCACCAAAGGTCACCAAGGGTCACCACATGAGCCCAACTTTACTAAGGTTATGCGATGCATGTTTTATGGCCAGTTTTTCATTTCCAACTCAATGGTGTTGGTTATAAGACCATCAGGTACGGTTTAGGTCACTTTCTGGTGGAGGTCAGGTCAAGGTCAGGTCAAAAAAGGTCAAATTTCAAAGTTGATATTTATGCATAAAATGGGTATCGATTCGATGCAGCTCGTCACGGGGAGTCTAATGGTGGTCTTTGTTTTGCGCTACGAGGTCTGGAATTGCTAAAAATTGAGTTTGAAAATTTGACGTCATCAATTTTGAACAGTTTTTTCGCTATAACTTGGCCAAAAAAAGAGGTATCGATCTCAAATTTGGTATGTAGATAGAAGGCGGTAGGGGCTATCACATATATTCCGGTTTTTTTCGAAATTCAAAAAAGTTTTTGGATTTTTTGGCTATTATATTCAAAAAATCTATTTTTTGATTTTTGGGGGTCGAAATCCAAAAAATTCGAAAAACCGAAATAGCAGTTTTGTAGCCCTTTTAATTTTACATCTTTTATGTCTGAAACATTTTTCTGTATCTCTAAAGCTGTAGGCCTGAGAGTTCTTCCCGCGAAACCTTTTTTTGGGTCGAAAATGGCAAAAATGACGTCACTCTGACGTCATTAGCGGCCAACCTATCTGTTGTGTATTTGCGGTGTTCTGCTAGCAATTATAAAATGACCTCAACATGGAGGTGCCGAGCAGTGCAATGTCTCCCGCAAATATTGTGATTGTTTTTGGATAAAATCTGGGTTGGAGGGGGGACTTGGGGAGTGACATGAAAAATGGAATACAGGAAGTGATATATTGTGATTTTGAATATTGAATAGACTGAAGAAAGGAATAATGTCTGGAACATTTGGTGACCGTGACAGGACACGATGGAGGAGTATATACAATTGGCAGAAAGGTGTGGATTGAGTGGATCAGAAGCCTTGGCGTATGCCACTGAACAGAAGGAGAAGGCGGACGAAAGAGCGGAGAGAATCGCAGCCAGAGAAGAGAGAGAAAAAGAGAGACAATTTGAAGTTACGGCCAGAGAAGAGAGAGAAAAAGAGAGACAGCATGAGCTAGAGCTGGAGCGCATCCGAGCGGAGAGAGCGAGTTCAACAGAACAACAGGCGGCGTCGGCCAAGAAGCCCAAGTTACCTGCGTTCGTGGATGGCAAGGACGATTTGGACGCCTACCTGGCGCGGTTCGAGAGGACAGCAGCTCGGTGCGGGTGGGCCAGAGAGGAATGGGCCACTAACTTGAGTGCTCTTCTGACCGGGAGGGCTCTCAACGTGTATTCTCGGCTAAGCGAGCGTGATGCAAATGACTACCAGCAAGTAAAGGAAGCCCTGCTACAGCGCTACGGTTTGACGGCGGAGGGCTACCGCCGTAAGCTCCGAGAGAGCGGACCCGAGCCGGATGAGAGCCCACCTCAATATCTGGAGCGGCTGACGGGCTACCTGCGCCGTTGGGTGAGCTTGGCTGGCGAGGATTTAGAAGACCTAGTTGTGTATGAACAGTTTATGGAAGCATGTCCGAAACAACTGCAGACGCATCTACGCGAGCGCGTTGACTATGACCTGAAAGATTTGGGTGAGCAGGCTTCAAAATTCTTAGAAGCTCACGGCCGCTCGCTTTACAACTGGCCCAGACGCGCCAACGCCAGTGGTGATTCATCCTCCTCGCCCTCTCCACAGGCTTACGGTTCAGCAACTGCGCTACCGACGGCGGTCCAAGATGGTTGCGTCTTTTGTGGGTACCCTCATCCATCGGAAGAGTGTAGGAAGACGCGGGACCTCACGCCGGCTGAGCGACGAGAGCGCTTGATGCGCCGAGCGGGGTGCTTCTGGTGCCTGAAGCCGGCCTCTCACCGAGCAGTTGACTGCCGCCAGGGCCTGGCGCGCTGCTCGATCTGTAATGGCAAGCACAATCCCCTGCTATGCGACCGGTCGTCTGTGCCAGCAGCAGCGAGGGGCAGCCACTCGAGCAGCGGCACGTCACCCGCTCAATCAGCCACGGTGACGGCGGCCAGTCGCA